AAGCGATCGATCACTGTGTGAATCGGTGGCCAGAACCGGGTTTCTTTCTCTCCGCTCCGAAGTCCGCCATGCTTATTTTCAAACGAGGTCCCTTATCGTCACTTGCCGTCTCTCCACAAGTTTGTGGTATTCCTATACTATTTTGCAAGTCGCACAAATTTCTGACAATAACACTGGACTTAAGTCTAACCTTCGAAGCACACATAGAGGATGTCAGAAGCCGTTGCTTTAAACAGCTTAACGTCCTCAGGTGTTTTGTTGGTCATGCCTGGGGTGTAGACCGAACGACGCTTACCACACTTGATATAGGTCTCATGCGATCAACACTGGAGTACATCTGCTTCATGTTCAGCATTATCTCTGTCAACCTTTGCAAACGCTTGGAAGCCATGTAAGCAAACTGTCTGCGTCTGGTCACAGGGGCCTTCCGCACGAACCCGGTTCTCGCCATCCATGCTGATGTAAGGTGTCAGAGCACCTGTGTGCTAGCTAGTAAATGTTTGCGTAGTTTGGCGAGCGTCGCCTGGAGGCGCTCGCGCCACCCTCCTCCTGCCCCAGGCGCCCCGTGCGAGGGACGTGGCTACGGGGCCAGGAGAGAAGGTAGTAATAAAGAGAAAACTTTGAGAGCCGCCGGCGCGAGGTCGGACGTGCAGGCGGGACGTACTGTGACGAGTGCATGTAATGAGTGTCAAATACAGAAGTGACTGGACGTACCGTGTGTACCAGTGAGCCGGAAGCGAGACACCGAAACACCAGAACTTACACTGACACCAGCCTGCCAGAACTGGCAGACTAGCGTTATTTCTTGCTGCTCCGGTAATACTACAAATCTCAAAGCATGCTGAGCCACGCGGTATGCGCTGCTTTTAAAACCAATAGACCGCACCTATTAAGATAGCAGCGAAGGTCGGGCTTCCTGTCAGACGCTGTCAAACAGGCGCGACGAACTCTTGACATGTCATGTATACGTGTTGAATCCTCCATTGAAGCCTTTTTGGCTTTGTAATAATCCCTCAAAGGAGTTTCTATTTAGATCTAAAAAAAATGGGAATTGCCTCCTGTTGGGGTACGATCTGCCTTCCTGGAGTATCGAAATAGGTACGCTGAATCCTTTTTCTTTTTGGATGGATTTGGATAGATGGATTGGATGGATGGATGGATCTCGGACACCGATGGATCTGCTCATGGTGACTAGGTTGGTGCAGCAGCCGTTGGTTCTGACTTTTGATTCACCGGACGTCTTTCAAGACTTCAGCACGGTGTTCTCTGCGGATCGTTTACTTCCGCAGAGTACTGTCGCACATCAGAGTCAGACGCATTTCTCAGGCTACGACTTTCACAGACTCTAAGGCACCGCTGCAGGCGCTTCAGCGACTCGATGATTTCAACCACCCGGGAGTGTATGACATTCATAATATAATATGCTTTCGCCACCTACCGACCAGCATGTGACCTTTCTGTGGATACCGGGATATCGTGGCATCGCGAGAAATGCCTTCGCCCCTTGCGAAACAAGGTGTCCGTCTATCCACACCTCTGGAAGTGTCTTTAGCACTGGGTGGTGCTCTCGATTCAACTTACGTCCGTTTCGCTTGGTATTTGCAGAACCAGTGGGATGTTTCGCATGCTGGCCACATGCATTGAATCAACCTACACTCCAACCATGGGCGACGTGTCAGCAGGAGAACAGGCAGAGACGAGTGGTTTTGGTGCGCTTGAGATGTGGCCACATTCGCCTCATTCACAGCCACTTCTTCATTCGTTGTGCACCACCGGTCTGCGAGACTTGTAATGTCCAGCTTACGACAGAACACGTATTGGTTGGATGCATTGCTCTTACTCGAGAACTATGTCACGAATTACTTGTTAACACACCGCCTTCCCACACACTCCAAGCGCTGCTAGGTGACAAGCATCCTGTCGTAACCGATCTCGTCTTGGACTTCGTGAATAAATCGCCATTGGGTACGAAAATCTGACGGGAACTGATTCATGACCGTGAAGTTGGCGACTTATTCAGCGATTTATTCACCAAGAAGTTCCAGCTTTTTTAAAAAAGGTCTCAAGGTGAATTATTGCACGAGAACATCGAAAGTGACCTTTATTTTGCAATATCATGTGGTCTTCGAGGTCAAAAGCTGGGTCAAAGAACGGGGAACGCAACATCCCCAACAATTACCGGCCGATTTCAATCATCAACAAATTCACAAGCGCAAGGGCTAGCGTCCGTCAAAAAGTCGCGCCTCTGAAGGTCATCCTTCAAGGTCAAACGCGGGCTCAAAGGATGGGCAACTCCATATCACACAAAATCACCGGCCGATGTAGACTTAAAGGCACGAAAATATTTACAAGTTCGAGAGCTAACGTCCGTCAAAATGTCCTGACCTCTCAAGGTCATCCTTCAAGGTTAAACACGGGCTCAAAGGACGGGGAACTCAATATCGCGCAAAAATTCCCGGCCATTCTTAAACTTGCCAACATCAAAATATGCACCGCAGAAATAACTAGCGTTCGTCAAAAAGTGCTGACCTTTCAGGGTTACCCATCAACGTCAAGTACAGGCTCAAAGGCCGGGAAACTTAATATCACCCGAAAATTATCGGCCGATTCAACTTTGATATTACATTTAAACACCAAAATGTTTACCACAGAAGAAACTGGCGTCCGTCAAAAAGTCCTAACCTCTCAAGGCCATCCTTCAAGGTCAAAATCAGGCTCAAAAGGCAGGAAACTCCACATCAACCAACAGTTACCGGCCGATTTAAAACTTCCAAATATCATCATGTTCAACACAGAAACGATTTAACAAAGGATAAATGTTTGTCAAAAAGTCACGATCTCTCAAGGTCACCCTTGAAGGTCAAACACAGGCTTAACAAACGGGACTAGTTTCGCGGACATCGTCCGTGAAACTACGGAAAGGACTACCAGTTCCTTTCGTGGCGTATATTCTGGTGCTCGCAAGTTAAAATCGGCCGATAATTTTTGGGTCACATAAATTCCCCGTCCTTTGAGCCCGTGTTTCACCTTGAAGGGTGACTTTGATAATTCAGAACTTTTGACGGACGTTTCTTTTTTTCTGTGTGGAATATTCTGATATTTGGAAGTCAAGAATCGGCCAAATTTTTCTGAGTGACATCGAGTTCCCCGTCATTTGAACCTGTGTTTGACTTGTAAGGATGGCCTTGAGAGGTCGGGACGTTTTGACAGACGCTTGCTCTTGATCATATGAATATTCTGGTACTTTTATGTTTAAAATCGGCTGGTGCTTTTTTGCGATATGGACTTCCCCATTCTTTGACCCCGCGTTTGACCTTAAATGGTGACCTTGAAAGGTCATGATCTTTGATGAACACTAGTTTTTTGGGACGAATTTTCTGACAATTGCAAGCTTCAATTCGGCCGATGATTTTTGGGTGATATTGAGCTCCCCGTCCTTTGAGCCCACATTTGACATTAAAGTGTGACTTTGAGAAGTCAGAACTTTTCGACATACGCTAGATCTTTTTGTGCTGAATATTTTGATATTTGCGAGCTTAAAATCGGCTGATAATCTTTTACTCATATGGAGTTCCCCGCCTTTTGAGCTCGCGTTTGAACATGAAGGATGCGATTGAGAGGCCAGAACTTTTTGGCGGACGCTAGTTTTTTCAGTGGTGAATATTCTAAGATTTGGAAATTTAAACTCAGACAGTGATTTTCGGATAATGTTGAGTTCCCCCGTCTTTGAGCTCGCGTTTGTTCTTGAAAGGTGATCTTGAAAAGTCAGGACTTTTTGACGGTCGCTAGTTCTTTCTGTGGTGAATATTTTGATATTGGCAAGTTTAAAATCGGCCGGTAATTTTTGCACGATGTGGAGTTCCCCGTCCTTTGAGCCCGTGTTTGACCTAGAAGAATGACCTTAAGAGGTCAGGACTTTTCAACGGACGCTAGTTATATCTGCGATAAATGTTCTGACATTTTCAAGTTTAAAATAGGTTGGTATTCTTTGGTGATAAGGCGTTCCCCCGTCATTTGAACCCGCGTTTGATCTTGAAGGATAGCCTTGAAAGGCCAGGATTTTTTGACGGACACTAGTTCTTTTTGTGATGGACTTTGCGATGCTTACAAGTTTAACATTGGCCGGTAATTTTTCGATGACATTGGGTTTCCCGTCCTTTGAGTCCACGTTTGACTTTGAGGGGTAACCTTGAGAGATCGGGACGTTTTGGCGGACGCTAGGTTTTCCGTGGTGAATATTCTGATGTTTGCAAGTTTGAAATCGGCCGGTGGCCTTTTGGTGATATGGGACTCCCTGTCCTCCCAGCCCGCGTGTGACCTTGAAGGGTGACCTTGGGAGGCCAGGACTTTTTGACGGATGCTGGTTCTGGCGCTTGTGAATATTTTGATGCCTGCAGCTTGCAAATCGGCTGGTAATTTTTGAGTGATATCGAGTTCCCCTCCCTTTGGCCCTGCCTTTTACCTCGAAGGTCACATGACATGGCAAAATAAAGGTCATTTTCGATATTCCCGTGCCGTAATTCACCTTGAGACCTCTTTCAGGGATACCCGAGTTCGTAGCTGAATAAATCGCTGAATAAATCGTAAACTTCACGGACGTAACTGCTTTGCCGCTTAGCCCCGTGGTACCCAGGAATAATGCTGGGGAAACGTCCGGCACCTTACGGCACCCTAAAAACGGTTCGGCATCCTACGTAACCACGCTTTTACTCACCTGTTTTTCCCCGTATGTATGCAATGAATTGTGATCTTGAATGATGGTCTTCATTGACCATATTTTCCGCATTGCGGGGCCCACTAAAGCAATATTACATATGTGATGAGTTCCCGTGCTCCCCTTTCTAAAGTGGCCACCATGCTTATTTAGGATGAGCCAGTTTTTGTGCGGGATTAGGTATGGAGACTTGCTTTCGTTCCTGGCGAATAACGTAAGTTGAAGCCACTAAAAAAAAAACGCTTTCTCATGACCCGTATGTGACTCGCGGAGGCGTTTGCCGTATGCCTTCGTGTTTTAGTATGCAAATGTCCGGTGGGTGGTAGAAGCCTCGTCCAACGAGTTATTTAGGTTCTTTTCGAGGTAAATATTTCCAGCATATTACGGTTTGTTACGTAAGTGAATTTCGTACCAAACGCAAGCCTGTAGCAAGGGAAGAAGAAGCTCGCAATTGGCGTTAGCCGGTTAGTTTCCAATCACGGACCAGAACTTCCGCGATGCGATGAAACGATAATGCATTTGCATGATTGAAAAGCAGCTTCACTGTATGTTCTACGTATTCGATTAAGTATCATGGTTGTTTCGTGCAATGGCTGATTTATGAGAAATGTTTCATGCTCCACTCTATTCGTGTTTCCTCCTATTTCCAGTCGTCTCCACTCTCAAATATATGTAACTTTGTGTTCTCTTGCAGCTTTTCTTGGTGTGCAAGCCATGTCTCTTCTTCTCCGTGGTCTGAGGTGGAGTTTTGGTCGCTCACCTCACCACAGACAAGCATGCAAGAGGTCCTACCATTTGGATACTGCACCAATAATTGGGACAGAGCCAGATCGAAATAGCCCACAGTTCCTGGTGAGAAATGGGTGTGTTTTGCAGGTGGCATGGGGTGGGTGGGATGCGGGTTTTTATTGCGGGGTTTTGGGGATTTTAGGGGAATGCAGATATGACTTCCCAGAGGGGTCTGAAGCTTGGTGAGAACTTACCAGAAACATGAATGATATTTGGTAATGCTGTATTATTATGGAATTGATCTGTGCTGACTATCCTTCAGCCATATAGGACAGAGGTTAAAATGTGAGCATATGTACCAATTGATCAATGACTCTTGCATTAATTAATGCCCCTGAGAGATGGAGAGTGCCTTAGCAAATGAGCTTGCAGAGGCCTGGCTACAGTGTAGGGCCTTCCAAGCAAATGCAAAGAAATCAAGGAAAATGTAGAAGGTGGTTAGCAATCAGATTGATCCTGCAAGTACCACATAGAGCCTGGTGAAGAGCACAGGGTATCTGGACAACATGAAATCTCTCAACCTTAAAATCAACCTTAAAACAATCAACCAATCAACCTTAAAATCTCTCCAATTGCCCCCCTCCTATTCAGTAAGGAATTATGTTGGGCTGCTGATGAGTCCTCCACTTTGCTTGCAGCCATTTTCTTCACTTGGAAGCTCAACAGTGATTTTTTTTAGGAAAATAGGGCAGGTCTGGTTAGTGGAAGCTTTGTAATCAAGGCACTCAAACAGCCACACAATGGTGTCCCAATCCAAACTAAAGAGGCATGCTGGGCCCAGATAGGGGGCTGTCCCTTAACCCTGGCAAGTGGTTATGTAAACCCTAATCATTCCACTAATTCTAGCAAGGAATTTTGCAATTACATTCATGAATTTGATGACACTTGTCCAGGAAAGTTGATGGTAGGTGGACATGGCCCATTTAATATGGTAAGCAGATGTCCCAAAGTTAAGAAGATCTGAAGTTTTGGGGAGTGGAGTGAGTTCCATGAACCACATGAATGCTTCCGAAGCTTAATGTAAATAAGGACAATGTTTTTTACATTGGGAGGAGATATAGTGTAATGGTTCAGCATTTGGGATATGCCTCGCCCTTCGGGGGCACCCTTGATGTATCCTATGTGCCGCTGTTTTGCGGCAGCAGCAATCAAGTTGGTTAGTAATGTGGCCTTCCAGTGTAGGTTTTGTCCCATCTTTGGGTTGTGGGCTGTCCTTCCTCTAACTGTCTAGCCTCAAATTGTATGGTAATCTTGCATTTTGGGGTGCTTGTGGTGCCGGAAGTAAAGTGGTTAACGCATCTGTGTTAACCGCTACACGTCTGGGAAACCAGAGGTACGGGGTTCGATTCCCCGCGGTGGCCGCCCTCCCTGCCAAGGTGAGAGCCAGGCGGCGCCATATAGCCTCGGCAGCTGAGTGCGTCGTAAAGCCCCAAAGACATGACATGACTTGCTTGGACCTTGATAACATATCCAACTGCAGCAGCATGACTTGGCGCAGCAGGGTCGTCACGGTTTCCTGATCTCACAGTGATCTTTGCAGCCAGTCCTAGATACTCCAACTTTCGGCAAAGAGAAGCGCAGTTCTCTTTACATTTAATTGTGTGTGTTTTTGATGGGATGATATTCAGTTTGTGTGCTCAGGACTGACAATGTCCATGTATGGTGAGGCCCAAAGGTTGCCAATGTCCGTGCGGCGCCGTTCTATTAATGTGTGCGTGACAATGAAATCACAGTGCATCTAGAAAGAGATATTCGAATGAGTCGGTAAGAGCTTTTTGGTTGGGTCCCCATTGGCAACAAGCTTTTTCACCCATGGTTGTGCATCACTTACCTGTTGATAACACATAGCTGTTCACTTATAGGGTGGCCACATCTATGTCTGTAATTATTTATTTGCTTATTTGATTATTCTCGCTAGTCTCATCCCGCGAAAGGCGTCGCACTTGTACTCCAGTTTCAGTAGCGTAGGCCAAAGGCCACGACTTGTGCGGCACAGTCCTTGATTACCTGGAACCTTGGCTTCTTCAGGAGAACCACGAGCGCATGTCCGCACTGGTCGGCGAGCTTTCATCGCACGTGGACCGTATCGTGGCCGGCGGCGGAGAGAAGGCGATACAGCGGCATACATCAAAAGGTGCGTGGCCGGGCGTGATGCACACTGGTTGTATGGGGGCTGCGGGAGGTTATATTTTGGTCTTCGTGTCGTTAAAAGTGTAGTCTTTTGCAGCCTGCTTCAAGTTTTTCGTTCGGCCCTTCCGTTCAGAGGAATGTTGAAAGAAAAGACGCAGCGGTGCATGCATGTTTTTACCCTTTATGCTTTTTTAATGCAAACGTACGTTTGAGTTAACCCGTCCGTTGGCTCAGCCAACAGGCGTCCGGGGAGCTCAGCTGCGTCGCGTGTGTTCATTAAGTCTTTTCTCCAACCACGACTACGTCGCACTGACATCGTCACCTGATGATGACATTTATGTTTAGGGGCGCCTCGATCATTTTGCGACACTTGGAACAGCTCTACCTCTTCACAGTGTCTGTCGGCGCCCGGCTAATATCTCGCGCGAGGCGTGTCTTTAGCGCCTGCTGCGTCCGTTGCCAGGTAAACTGTTGGTGCGCGAGCGCATCTCTCGCCTGCTGGACCCGGGCTCGCCGTTCCTGGAGCTGTCGCAGCTGGCCGGCCACCAGCTGTACGGCAAGGAGGAGGTGCCGGCCGGGGGCATCGTCACTGGCGTGGGCCGCATCAGCGGGTTAGTGCAGCTGCCCGCCGGCCGACGCCAGGCCAGCGCCAACATTGGCTTGACATCGGCTCAAAACGGGGTAGAGGCTTGATAAATTCTGCCAGCGGCGCACTGAAGGGGGGAAATGCCAGGTAACTGATATTTGTGTTTGTTTTGATATCCGCACCGGTGCACCTGTATGACGTCGCACGTTTAGTGAATCTGAACAGCATGTTACGCAAAATACTGGGCTGAAGCACGTAGACGGAGAATCTAAAGCATGTAACCTGCACTTGTTTCAGTGTCTGATACAAGACTTGGGGGGGATCAGACAAAATATGTGCAGTTATGTGGGCAATTTCACTGCTGGTTAGACTAATCACCTTATACTGCCCAAATATGACGTTTTTGGCCAGGGGTGGTCGAAGCATGCTGGACGGGGCTCATTTGATGTTATATAAAAACAGGTACTACAATAACTATGATGTAAACAACCATGAAACCATGGTTGTTAACAGCCATGAATTGTTAACAACCATTCGACCTGGCTACGATATCCTAAGATTACTACGATTTTTAACTTGGCTCATAACGCTGGAAAGGTGGTAAGGGGTTGCTTTTCTCAAGACTGGATGAGACTGCTACGCGAGAAAGTCAACCTGATTGCCACTCAAGGTCTGCCGTCAAAATATTGTGTGCGATTCGCACAAATCATTTGCCAGAGCAAAGTGCGTGACGTTACAGATCAGCGTAGAAAACACTTGGAATAGCCATAAAATCACGGCATCGAAGCATTCCTTTCCCATTCGTACGGGTAACACAGCCATTGTTCATCCTGCGTGCGTGTGTAAAGGTTTATCGCCTTGGTATGCACATTACCAGCGACCAAAAAATGAAAGACAATAATCGCACTGCTTATTTAATAACCAATGACCAACTTTCAGTTTTGCAATATGTGCGTACGGTATTTATCGCATGCATATAAATCATTGTTGGGCGCATACCACGACCACTGCAAACAAGGTCACATTGTTCTCGCCGTTGAGACGTCCAGCGTAGCTCACACAGACGGCCGAGTTCCGAGCTCCCCCTGGTGCTCCTGTCAGCCCAAGTCAGTCGGCTAATATTCATCACATCACCTACATGTTATCATTCTCGCTGCGATAGACGGTGCTATGACCCAAGATAGTCGAGCATGGGCCAGGTGTGGCCCGGGAGCCGTGGACCGCACACTCGCCGTGAGTGGTCCGGAAGTCGTCCTGGCACATGTTACAAAATTATCATGGATCCTGGATCCTGGATATCCTGCATGGGGATAGAGTTTATACAGTGTGTGCACCTACATTGCTTCGGGATTAAAGCCATTCCCAACGCGTTAAAGTGACCGTACTCATTTGCCCGTGTTATGCCATCCCATCCCATCCCCCCCCCCCCCCCTCCAGCTGATCCTCCTTTCCCCTGCTGACGTGCCGTCCGTGTCGTCGCAGCGTGGAGTGCATGATCGTCGCCAACGACGCGACAGTGAAGGGTGGCTCCTACTACCCGATCACGGTCAAGAAGCACCTGCGCGCCCAGGAGGTGGCCATGGAGAACCACCTGCCATGTGTGTACCTGGTGGACTCTGGCGGCGCCAACCTGCCGCGCCAGGCAGACGTCTTCCCCGACCGAGAGCACTTCGGCAAGATCTTCTACAATCAGGCCAACCTGTCGGCCAAGAACATTCCGCAGGCGGGTACTGGGTAGAGAGGGTGGGTGGGGAGGATCCTTTGGTCTGGCGCTAATATTGGTATGCTAGTATACTGACTTCTGTCTCGCTGGGGTTATATCGGGCAGTCGTCTTTCACTAAGTGTATGTGTTTCCTTTGCTGTGGGCGTCGGCGATGTGTGCTGTGCTTGTGAACTGGTGGTAAATGCATGACCTGTGGTAATCTCGATAATAGATGCAAACAGCAGCTGCTCCTGACGTTTGATGGCGTTTTGGCCTGGCTTTACAAGTCCAGAGCCGACGTCGGTTGACCTAGACGTCGCTGACGACAAACTGCTGACGCGCCGCGCCGGGCCGCCGGCCGCCTGACGCCCGCCGCCGTCGTGCTCAGATAGCCGTGGTGATGGGGAGCTGTACAGCCGGCGGCGCCTACATCCCGGCGATGGCCGACGAGTCGGTGATCGTGCGGCGCCAGGGCACCATCTTCCTGGCCGGGCCGCCGCTGGTGCGCGCCGCCACCGGCGAGGCCATCTCGGCCGAGGACCTGGGCGGCGCCGACCTACACTGCAGGTCAGCGACGGGCTCACGACTTACACAGGGTCACGGCCTTAAGTGCGGGTCAACGACGGGGTCACGACCTACGCTGCAGGCCAGCGACAGGGTCACGATTTACACGGGGTCACGGCTGTAACCGCAGGTCAGTGACCGGGTTACGACTGTCGCTATGTGTCAGTGACTGGGTCACGTCTGCCACTGTGTGTCACTGGTGGGGTCATGGTCTCCACTGTGAGTCACTGGCGGGCTGATGATCTCCACTGCTTGTCACTGGCGGGGTCGTGGTCACCTCAGTGTGTCACAGGGGTCATGGTCTCCACTGTGAGTCATTGGCGGGTTTGCGATTCCAACTGCGAGTCATTGGCGGGATCACGACCTGCATTGCGTATGAGAGAAGCGGTTTCAGTGGTGGAGAGGTTTTTCTTATTTCGGATTTCCACCGCCAGTGTGAGTTAGACTTATATTTGTTGTACTTTGCCCCCGTGATTAGAAACTGTATAAGTTGGTTTCGGGTATTTATGTGGAGAAGATCTAAAGCGGGGTTCAGAGTGATGCTTAATACCGCGAGATCCAAGGGATTGATTGTTATTTACAAATATAGTGTGATAACTTATCATGGATGGGCGCCGCCGGGCTGCGACAACCAGCTGTGACTCGGTGTCGCCATGTCTGCAGTACTTCGGGCGTAACGGACCACTACGCCGTGGACGACCTGCACGCGCTGCACCTGGTGCGCCGCTCTGTGCGCAACCTCAACCGGCAGAAGACGCCGCCGGTCACGCTGCTGGAGCCGGAGGAGCCGCGCCTGCCCGCCAGCGACCTCTACGGCATCGTCGGCGACAACTTGATGAAGACGTTTGACGTCCGTGAGGTGAGGGTGGCCCGGGGGAAGCAGCGGGGCGCGCTTCTAACTGGCGGTCCGGGAGAGCCTTTAGGATAGGCTGGCAAGGGTTCAGGTTGTTGATTCTGTATGTCGCCCGACTTGAGTAGACTTTTCAGTGAATTATGCGGGAAAGGAATGGGTTGTATGCGAAGCAGCGTAGATCTGCTAATTAGGGATACTTTTAGCGTGACCTTTAATTAAAACTTTGAGTCATAAATGCACAAACCTGGCGCGGATCTGCGTATCATAGGACCGAGTGTGCGCCTTTAGCGATCTTTAAGTGCGTAGTTGTGTTTGGATTTATGAAATAGCTGGTGACGACAAATAACTGTCTGAGGGAAATTGCAGTTAGGCTATCATGCCTATACATGACTATGTTGGTCCGAAAGCGCATCTGCTTCTCTCTGTGTCACAGTGTTTAGCGGGGTCGTATGTTCGGTCGCGGCCTATTTCGGTCGAAGGAGATCGAGCTGAGCCAATAACTGCTCCCTGTCACGCTGTCCGGACACGGTGGCACGCCCGTGCGTGTGCCGTGTTCAGCTGGAGGCGCCGCTATGTGCCGGCCCCGCCTCCCTGCGGCGGCGCTGCTGTGTGCCGGCCCCGCCTCCCTGCGGCGGTACTACTGTGTGCCGGCCCCGCCTCCCTGCGGCGGCGCTGCTGTGTGCCGGCCCCGCCTCCCTTCGGCGGCACTACTGTGTGTCGGCCCCGCCTCCCTGCGGCGGCACTACTGTGTGCCGGCCCCGCCTCCCTGCGGCGGCACTACTGTGTGCCGGCCCCGCCTCCCTGCGGCGGCACTACTGTGTGCCGACCCCCCCCCCCCCCCCTGCGGCGGCGCTGCTGTGTGCTGACCCCGCCGCCTCACTGCGGCCGCGCTGCTGTGTGCCGACCCCGCCCCCTGCGGCTGCGTTGACCCCGCCCCCTGCGGCTGCGTTGACCCCGCCCCCTCCTCCGCAGGTGATCAGCCGTATCGTGGACGGCTCGCAGTTCGACGAGTTTAAAGCGCGCTACGGCGACACGCTGGTGTGCGGCTTCGCCCGACTCTACGGCTACCCGGTCGGCATCGTCGGCAACAACGGCGTGCTTTTCTCCGAGTCGGCACTCAAGGGCACCCACTTCATCGAGCTGTGCTGCCAGCGCAAGATTCCGCTCATTTTCCTGCAGAACATCACAGGTGCCTACCTCAAGTGGAATGGCCTGTTAGCTGGCGGTGCTGGGAAGGCATTGGAGAAAGACAACGGAGTGTTAGAGCAGAGTGCTTTGGCTGTCGTCTGACCTGTCTGCCATCTGTCCCTTCACCTGTCGTCTGACCTGCCGTCTGCTGTCTGTCCCTTTACCTGTCGTCTGACCTGCCGTCTGCTGTCTGTCCTTCCACCTGCCGTCTGACCTACTGTCTGCTGTCTGTCCTTCCGCCTGTCGTCTTACCTGCCGTCTGCTGTCTGTCCTTCCACCTGCCGTCTGACCTGCTGTCTGCTGTCTGTCCTTCCGCCTGTCGTCTGACCTGCCGTTTGCTGTCTGTTCCTCCCGCCTGTCGTCTGACCTGCCGGCGGCTGTCTGTCCTTCCACGTGACGTCTGACCTCCCCGCCGTTCGTCATCAGGTTTCATGGTGGGTCGCGAGGCGGAGGCCGGCGGCATTGCCAAGAACGGCGCCAAGATGGTGACAGCCGTGGCGTGCGCCCAGGTGCCCAAGCTGACGCTGATCGTGGGCGGCTCGTACGGCGCCGGCAACTACGGCATGTGCGGCCGTGCCTACGGGTGAGTCGCGTGTACCGGGGCGGTGGGCCGACTACGGTATGAGTGGCCGTGCCTACGGGTGGGTCGCGTGTGCCGGGGAAGGTGGGCCGACTACGGCATGTGCGGCCGCGCCTACGGGTGAGTCGCGTGTGCCGGGGAAGGTGGGCCTAACCGCGCGACTGCTGGGCTGCGGCCCGCCGGGCGGGAATGGCCAACAGGGAGCGTTTGGCTGCAAGCAATACGCGGTGTACTTTACCCCTGCCCCCAAAAAGGCTCGTTTTGAAGGTGCATTTGGTTCTCGTACGATTTGTGAGCTCGGTTGTACTCTCCGTCCCATGCCAACAGAAGGCAGGCGTTTGTACACGGTCGCTGCACGTCGTGTGCTTGTTGTGCTGTCAGACAGGTTGTGTTACTGGGTCGCCCACCCCTTGTCACCTACAGACGACCCTAACTCAGTCATCTTGTAACGCGTGGTGCCAGACGGGGCCGCGCCCAGACGCGCCGCCCTGACCGCGTGTCTGCCGGAGGATTGCCCCGCGCCGCCTCTGACGCGCCGTCTCCGCCGCCCGCAGACCTCGCTTCCTCTACATGTGGCCAAACGCACGCATCTCGGTGATGGGCGGCGAGCAGGCGGCCGGCGTGCTGGCGCAGATCACCCGCGACCAGCGCGCGCGCGAGGGCCGCCCCTGGACCGACGAGGAGGAGGCGGCGCTCAAGGCGCCGATCGTGGCGCGGTTCGAGGCGGAGGGCTCGCCGTACTTCTCGTCGGCGCGCCTCTGGGACGACGGCGTGATCGACCCGGCGGACAGCCGCCGCGTGCTCGGCCTCTCGCTGTCGGCGGCGCTGAACGCGCCCATCCCGGACGCCAAGTTCGGCGTGTTCCGCATGTGAGCGGACGGTGCGCACGCGGCCGGCGGCGGAGCGCGGCTGGAAGGGCGGGCGCAGTCGGTGGCACGGGTCAGTGGGCGCCGTCGTGTGGCCCGTGTGAGTAGCGCTGGCGGGTGCGGGGGCCGCCGCGGGGCGAGCTCGCGGGTGTTGCTGTACTGCCCTGCGTGTAGCCTGTCCCAGCGCCGCCCTCGGCCCACCAGTGGCAGCGACTGAGAGTGAGGCCTCCTGCCCTTGATCGAGTGGTCGGAGGGCTGTGGGCCTTGTGATGACCTAGGATGTCGCGTCCCCGGCGAGATTGCTGGTGCGACTGCTCGGAGGCCCATAGTCGACAGGATGTGCAATACGGTTGTGCCCGGTGGCACTTTGTACACGCGATCGGTGTAGGTTAGATGTGCTACTGGTGGCGTTGGTGGAATAGCGTGTGTTGATGCGTAGACCAAAGCCGTTTTTATAGATATGTGGCGGCTGACGTGCCGATTTCGTATTGCGATAGGTCTTCCTGCCTTGGTTTCTAACACGAATGTGTAAAGGCAGGCGCCTTATGTATGTGGTGGCATAGTACGGTGTGCTATTGAACAAATGGACGGCACGATATCGTAGTATGTGTTTGCTGTAGTGGGGTGAAAGGCTGCCGGTTCACGCCGTGGTGCTCCAGGTGCTCACTCTTAGATTATGCTCTGTGAATGCTGACTTCAACCTGAGACCGAATAAATGAAGCCTGACATCTGCAAGTTTTCAGTCAACGGTGTCTGGTACTAATTGGAGGTGCGTGTCAGTAATATTCATTTGTATGGACGACCTCAAATGTATCGCTGAACCAACAGCAGGTCCATAACTATCTCGGCGAATTCAGCACAGAGTAGAAATACATTATTATGTCTCGAATCGCTCACGCTTGAACGGTTGCCCCCGCGACATGCAACATAAACTCGGCATAAGACGAATGCGGTCCCAGACGCCGCCTACAACTAAAATATCGCTTAACAAAACGTCAGCTGACTATAGGGGGTAAGTGATGTCCCACTAATAAATCATATGGCCTGTCCTTACAGATGATGCACACATTCCGCGCTAATGCCGGCACAGACAACAGCAACACGAATGGTTTATCCTGTGTCGAGCGGCCAGACAGTTTTAGTTCATACAGCTTTAATGGTAGACAACACGGCCACTTCTGTCGGGTCTGCCACATCAAGAATCGATACTCTCAACTGCACTCACTCATCATCCACCCCCTACAACATATCGGCGTCGACCACGTCAATCTCTTCCTGCGAGCCGTCACCTTGCATATCGAGAGTAGCGCCATCTATCCTGCCGACCGTAGCGCCGTCTATCATATTGCGCAGCGAGAGCAGCGGCGGCGAGGCGCGCCGGCCGGGCGGTGACGGCGGCAGGCCGTGCAGCTTGCTCAGGCCGCGGCGGAGCGTCTCCTCCAGAGGTGAGCCGGCCGCTGGCAGCCGAGCCGGCAGGGAGAGCGGACCAAACAGGCGGCCGGCCGGGCCGTCCGCCGCCGGCGCCGCCGGGTAGAAGGGCGCCAGGTAGCCGGGAGGCGGCAGCGGCGGCGGCGCCGGCGGGCCCGGCGCGTGGAGGCCGTGCGTCAACAGCCTGGGGACGTGGAGGACACTGTAAATCGGGCTTGTAGAGGGTTCCCATGAATGTCGAAATCGTAATCAAATGGGTTGTAAAGACTAACATCAGAAAACGAACAAAAACGCTATGTAAAGGTCCCATGGTGGCATTGCCCACCGACAATACGATCGAACGGAAGAATTTATGTTGAATTGCTTGATGACTTCGACATTCTGTGGGAATAAGCTGTAAGCATAAATTAAACTGATATAACCAACATACATCTCGTCTGCGATGTTGAAGCTCCTTGAGAATACGCTCTGCCTGGTGCTGTACACATAATTAATGCATTGTTTCGTCAATTATAGTTAGAATGACTGTTTCTGAGGTAAGATCTCTGCCGTTTCATCGGGTTCTGAGATAATTCCTGCAATTTTTGAAACACTATACAAAATTTGTAAGGTATGCCTGCATTGGTCCCCACCAACTGAGAACAGATCCGTCTGAATCTCAAAGCAGATATCAGGATGCAGGATCCAGATTCGTCGTCGGCAGGTTCCTTGAAGTACTGATCATCATTAATGTCCATAAAAACGTCAGGTTATGTGGTCAGCGTGTGTTCAGCCATTGGGTTTGTCGCGGTGTCGGACACCAGAGCCGGTCGCTGAGGTACACGGATCAATGGGTGTACAGTCTCATGTACCAGAGCCGGTCGCTGAGGTGCACGGGCCGATGGGTGTACAGTCCCATGTGGGCGTAGTACTGCTGCGCCATCAGCTCCAGCTCGTTCGTGTGCTTCCGCTTCCACTTCGTCCGTCGATTCTGGAACCAGATCTTGATCTGCAAAATAACGGATTTTCAGACATCTGCACTGAAGTGTTCGGGAGTATAGCATTTTGTGGATTAGTCTCTCTGTTTCTACCGACCACGAAATATTTCCAACGAACCAACGAACTGAACTATTTGACCAACATTCAGCCGTCTAATTAGTGCACAGGTCCGTCACAAGTCTGGGCTAAAAAAATCTGAAGTGCTGTGTAGCCCGGTGTTTGCTTTTGTGAAAAATTGTCTCTTATGGAGGATGATTTGTGTGTAGTAGTCAAGGTATACACAAACACTGCGTATTGAGAACTTTGGTCTGCCATGCCCGAGTAAACAACTTCCGTGACTCAATTTACGAGAGAAAAGTGACTGACTAAGCAGTTCACATAAATGAAGGCTATGCAGTTTTTAGGAGATGTTTCGTCTTATCCTGACACCGTAACGTTTTTATGTCGGAATGTAGTCTGGCATCCTGCGTTCAGGAGCTGACCACAGATGGCAAACATTTCTCCTCGCGTTTAATCTGCCTACCTTTACGCAGTGCATGCACATCATGAACCATGAGTTTCTGCGACATTCTAAGTTTAACGATCATGACATGCCTACAGACGTGTGTGTCTGCAGATGGCCATCTCTACAGATGGTCGTGAAAACAATGCAAGCATGAAGTGTGTCGGTTGTTCTTTATCTTTTATAAATGTGACATATGCTGCCTGTAGCTTACATCAGTTGGTGCATTGGTTGTGCTTAAGATCAGCTCCATATACAGGAGGCAGATTACAACACGCAGGTGGAACGAATTCATGCAAGCTGTGCAGATTCCCGTCAGCTGAACAATTGGACTTCTGACACTGTTGGAAAGCTTATAACACTGATATTAGGATATGCATATGAGTGTGTAGGATTTCAAGAACTATCGCACCATAGAACGGCATAAAAAACAGGATACCTGTCGTGGCAAAGAGTGATGATGCTGATTGAAAGAGTCTGTTTTGATCCTGGGATGACTTTCCTGTCCCCTCCTAGACGAGATCCTTGCCACGTCATTAACACATATACTATCTGTGTGTTGCAGGGCATATTACCACAAACAGAGTAAAAACGCAATACGGTCTGCTATGAATTGGTATGCAATGATAAACTCTCATATGCATGAATATCGTCTGCTAAGGGCAGGCTTTAATCGCAAATGTCAGTTGGTCACTGACGAAAAGTTTCTTTTGCGAGCATTGTCTTTCTTGAAATGTCTAGCAAGAATGTCTGACAAAGTCCCCCTCCTAGTTTAATGGTATACTCTGAGCTCTTACTGTCACCTGCATCTATATATTCAGTTGACGGGATTGGCTCTATCAAACATCTGAATTTGTTTTCTTTAGCGAACAAGCAGACAATTATTATTCAAGCAAACGGTGTTTGAGCCCCATAAAATGAAGAATACACGAAATATTGCGAACTGGCGATAAGCATCTGCACTAAACGCTGTCATAAGTAATTACTGCTAGGTGAGACACCCGTAGAACCACGTAAGGCCAAAAGTTTGCATTATTGTTACAGTGTGAAAGAAAGGGAAAAGACACCAAACTATTCGGGAGAGTCGGCCGCGTCGTCAGAAATGTTTCATGACGAACGAATCTAGACGGACCAATCCTTTTGAATGACAAATTCTACATTGAAAAGCAGCATCGTTCGTTGCAAGTAAGTTCTTGGAATTTCAATTTTATGGTGAATTATCACCCAGAATACCCGAATTTAATGCGCCTTCGGTCATTACCCTATGCCCCTTACTGCGGTGTTCGTCATGCGCTTCTGTGCAGTTCTTCAGATGTCAATGTTCTGTGTAAACACCTCAGTCAGACCCTGCGTCCACTGTGGCTGCGACACGACCGATCGGCGCTATATGTAACATCATGTTTGCTTTTGCACAGTCATTAATCTACTATGCTACGGTTTATCTACGCTATTAATCACCGGCACATGTCTGGACCAACAACAAAAAATCAAACAAACGAGTGTGCATTTGATGGATACGCAGACAATGATGGATCTGGATTGTACATAGGAGCAATGGGCTGCATGGCTTTCCATCAGTCAATCACCTTTGCCATGAGGCAATCGATTCGAAACTTTTCCACGTAACAAGGACGCGATATAGCAGATGCAGTTCGAACTATAGCTATGCTGTTATGGCACACACGTCTGATAGTGACCGACCCTAGTAAGTCGGTCGTAGATTGCACCCGCACGAGGACCGTCGATTTGCTTCCTCGTCCATCTCATTCTTTGGTCACTGAATTTCTATAGGTGACGAATCCGGTCGAAAGCTGCTTTTGCCGGGTGGTGCCGCTGATAACTCGGCTGAGGCTAGATGGACAGAGAGGTATTTCCTCCCAGACACGGCGGGGACATAATTCTCTAAACACGTCTACGGATGAGAGACGGAGGGAGCCGGCGGTCCTCTCAGCTTCATGCCATACGGGGCCCGAAATTGACTCTTCCCCTTCAGTGTCGCCTGTCGGGAGGCAGAGCAGATGGAAATATGGAACAGTGGCATGGGGAACAGAAACGTGCCGTCCACTAATAACGCAAAAAATTAATCTTGGCCGACCACGCATGAATAATAATTGAACATAATGCAGTTTATGCGACCTGACCTTATTATTGGGCCGTCTTAAGCCGCTCCCAGCCGCACCTCACAGTGTGAGGTTTGCTGTAGCAATGGTAACAGCACCCAGCTCAGTCAATGATAAGTTCATACAACCAAGAAAGATGTTGAGCTCCTAGACCTTGAGCTCATTGAGTTTGAAACGTCGAGCTTTGACAATATAAACAAGGTTTGCTTGATAACGTCGTTTAGCTAACCAGTAGGTGCTGGTATATTGAAGGTTGATAACTGCCAGCATAAGAACTCTATACCTACAATGATGGTTTCTATCAAATGATAACAGCCTTTTATCGAATTTTTTATAATGTTCCGTCCATGTGGTGGTTTTTCCTGAAACCGTGTCAAGTCATAAATGTAGTGCGTTGCGATTATGTCAGGCCATTGTAGCGATAAAAGTGATTATCGATACGGACAATGGACATGTGTTGGTGGAAACGCATCCGCATTGTGGACAACTAGTAGGCTGTTATTCATATTTAAGTGCTTTGCAAATCAGCACATCTCGTGCAAACGGTTCGCTTTCAATAAAAGGAACAGGGTTACTGGCGCGAGAGGTCGTCATAGACAAAGTGCACTGCTGACGGAACATTCCGTGAAGTACGAAGCAGGAGTAAGCTCAGCCATATGCATACACGCCTCCTTTATTGGACCGCAAATGCAAACGTCCATTTCAAACAACAGTAGCGAATCAGGGAGAGTACCTGATGAACGGGACTAGCTATTTACTGATTTTGCAACGGTCGTGATGCTTCCTCCGAGGGACAGAGAGAATCTGCGTAGGGCTCATAATTCCGTTTATTACAACTAACAAAACGATAATAGTATGCCTTAAAATTCCTGTGGAGCTGGTGAAATAGCGCCAGTAATTCAGCCAAATCATACATGGTTAAAAAATATCATTCGTTGATACGGCCGATAGCACATGTTCTACACCACCACTTAGTGCTCCAACAATACCACCCCTTGGCGCTCAAGTTGCCGTTTGATTTCATCGGTTATATTATCAACTGCTATCAGGAGAACGCTTGTCTTTCACAGTGCTAGCAAAGTAATCGTGACCTTCCTCACTGGAACATGACATAGCCGGAGACACTTTAACCATCTTCAAGACATATGTTCTCAGTTCAGCCATGGAGATATAGGATCCGCTTTTTCCACTAGGCATGTCATTCACGAGCGCCGAATATTCCAACTCAGCGATATTCGACCGCCGAAATCGGTATGTAAGCTTTAAAAACATTGAACAATATGCGGCAAGACGCATATATATTTCCGGACCATTGTTCAGTACCAATAAAGGACCCAGTTGGCAGCTGGCAGTAACACCTGCCACCGAGGCCACTGTGACATGAGATATAGCTTTGAAAATGACGTGGACTTAGTTATTTGAAAACATGGTCATTGCGTCAAAATAGGGAATGGGTTGAGAAGACTTAATCCATTGTCGGAGCGGCTCCCTTAAAGGAAATGTTTCATATTTGAAGAAATTGGAGCAAGCATCAGATATGACGAAGCAAGCTTACTTATAACTATTAATATACGTTTAAGTCGAAAAGACTGCTCTAGATAGCACATGCATCATGGTTTGATTACGTCATCGTCCTTGCAAAACATTGATCAAGAGCCAATTGACGGCTGTTACATCTGGAAAGCGCGCTCACGAACGCCAGGATATGAACACCTCGACAATTATATTTTTCTTTGTCCTGATCGCTACACGGCTTACGGAATGTCAGGATTTCAATGACGTTATTATGACGTCATTAATGCCAAGGTGACTAAAATATTCTCCCCGATATACCTTTTCCCATTTTTGCGGGTGTGTAGCTCAGAAACTAGAGGGGCTTAGGTCTTAAGAAGGACAGGATTGTGAGCAGCACCGAAAGGTCTTCAAATGGCTATTTCAGTTCAAAACCCCATATAATGTGGAACACTTCCTTACAAGCTCAGCTTTGGGAATACATTACCAGCAAAAATGAGTGTTTTACCATCATGCAAATATCTCGCATTCCATAGGCCTCCACGATTTTTTTTCACTTCGGTTATCTCGAGAACATTTCGGGGAAGTATGAACAGTTGCCGGTTTCAAACCTGCCTGAGGTCAATCGGGCGCCTTATTACGGCAGGCGTACTTGCCAGCTTGTTTAGCCCAGTCCAATGTGCTTCAGGAAATTATAACTAACCACAGTGCACCTCGAAAATTTCGTTGCACATAAAAGCGACAAACGGCTGTTTGTAATTCAGCAACCACAGCCATATTATGCCTCAAGGCCAGCTAGAGGTTCTGTTAAAAAAATTAATTGAATCTGCCGCAGGGAGGGTATTCAGATCAGAGCCCTGTTGAGCAAAGCTTGCA